AACCACACACACTACAGTGAGTATCCTGACACTCGGAGAGGAAGAAGTCTACACTCAATCCTCTCTTTTTAATTCAACACAAAGAGAACTCCATTCTCTTATTAAAGTGTTTTTGGTTTTGAATGGTAAGTGCTTTGCAACAGAGAACCCTACGGTAAACGTCAGCACTCGGGATAGGAGAAGGCGTACGCCTAACCACTCCACGACCATTCAAGTTTTTGTTATGAAAATGATTTTAAAATGCACTCGGTACAAGACCGAGGTTTTAGGTGAGAAAGGTTGCGGGAGGAAATTGTGGAAAGAGATAGGTGGTGGATAAAGTCGCGTCTTCATATTGAAAGACGAGTATCGAGACCACCCACACTACAGTGAATATCCCAATAGTCAAAGAGAAAGAAGTCTACACTAAATCCTCTCTCTTTAGTTCAATACAAAGAGAAACCGATTTATTATTGAAAGGGTTTTGAAAATGCACTCGGTATGGGGCCGAGGTTTTTAGGAGGGAAGGTTTGAAATGTACTCGGTGCGGGGACCGAGGTTTTAGGAGGAGAGGGTGGAAGCGTCTCCGTATTGAAAGACGAGTATCAAAACCATCCACACTACAATGAATATCCTGATACTCGGAGAGGAAGAAAACTACACTCAATCATCTCTCTTTAGTTCAATACAAAGAGAAATCGGTTTCTTATTGCAAGGCTGTTTTGAAAATGCACTTGGTACGGGGACCGAGGTTTTAGGAGAGAAATGGTTTGAAAATGTTCTCGGTACGGGGAATACAAGCGTCTTCGTATTTAAAGACGAGTATCGAAACCACCCACACTATAATGAGTATCTCGACACTCGGAGGGGAAGAAGTCTACACTTAGTCCCCTCTCTTTAGTTCAATACGAATATAACTCGATTCCTTTATTGAAGATGTTTTTGAGAACCTGCAAAGAGATGAAAAACAGAGATAGATATATACAGATAAATAAACAGTCCACCAATTAGGATTTTATGGTTTGATATTTATTAAGTATTTTAAAAGAATGTACAAGTTAGTTGAATATTTACAGGATAATAATAATATACAGAATATATAATATGTACAAGAATATAAATGACTGAAAAATAAAGCAGTTGATATTTGACAGAAATTAAAGCAGTTGTATATTGGTTAGTCTATCGAATCGGGACACAAAAAATGGGATCTCGTCTTAACCGCAAACAAAATATCGATTAATCGAATGTAGCTTATCGCGATCCCAAAGTAAGGAAGATGACCCAAATGGTCATCCTCCATAGATTTGAAATCGGGAAGGTTATCGACTTCGAAAATCTGACGCTTGCGGATAAAAAGACTTCATCGATCCACAAGTCAAAAATAAAATCGAATCGTAATAAGAATTAAGAAAGAAAAGAAGTGGTGTCGGATCCTTTGTTTCACGTCAATAATTTGACGGCTAAACGGTGGAAATCTCTTCATCGACCAAAAAGATAGAAGAATATACAAAGGTAGATAAATGTCGAAAATAGAAAGGAGAAAGAAAATTCGGTCTCGGGTCCTTCATTTCTCATCAACAATTTGACAGAGAATCGAAAAAAATGTCGTCATCGACCAAAAAGAGAAAAATGGGACAAAAGGCCAATAACAAATGTTAAATAAAATCCAACTTCTAAAAAGAAAATAGAATTCAAATTCCTAAAAGAAATTGAATAAAATTAAAACTTCAGAAACAAAAGGTTGGTAAAAAAATGAATGGGCTTAAAAGTCCATCAAACAAATAAAACAAAATCCTAATTCTTAAGAATAAAAAAACAAATTGCCAGAGAAATCTCAAATACGATCAATCTGTTCATGGGTTTGGAATTTCATCTCCTTCTGTGATTTGGTTTTGATTCATGTCAAACTCATCTTCTTCTATTCTGGGTTTATTCACAGGTTATGGATGTGAATGGTTGTTGAAAGTTTGTGTTATGGGGATTCGAAGACGGAGTTGGTGAAGCGAGGATTTGGAGGAGTTTTGGGTTTGGATGGAGGAAGGATAAGGTGGAGGTTGAGTTGCGAAAATGGGTTTTGATTTCGAATGAGGGGAAATGGGTTACGAGTTGTGAAGGTTAGATCGTGAAGACGGGTTGAGAAAGGGATTCTGTTACGATGTGAACGGTTTAGGGGAAATAGGTGTTTGGAAGAAAAAGTCGTTTGGTTATGGTTTTGTTTTGTTGAACTTCTCTTCCCCTCTTTCTATTTCAATTTTTCTGCATCGTTTGATTTTCACGGTTGTTTATGGGGTTACGGCGAGTTTATTTGATTTGGTTTGTCTAATTTTTTGAAGGTTTCGATAACAGTTATGGTGGAAAGGAGGAGGAACGGTTTCGAAATTTGGGTATGAGTTTTAAGGTTTTCGTGAAGGTTGGGGTTCTGAAGAAGGAGGTTTGTTGGTTATGGCGGAATGATTTTTTTTCTTTATAAGAAGACCATAAACAGTGATGAAGGGGGCGGTTATTTTTTTGGGTTTCTAATAGAGAAGAAGGTGAATGTTAACTGGGGTTTATATACATCCTGAAAACACGTGTTGCTTCTTCTTTTTTTTTTTTAATTTTTTTTTAATTTTCTGTACTATTTAATTAATTCTGATAATAATAAAACAATTAAATCTAACTCTAAGGAGAAAAAAACTATTCTAATCTTAGTTTAATATTATTCTAATAATTAACTATTCTAATTAATAATTAATTAATATTCTAAATCTAACTAATCCTAATTGATATTAAAATATGAATTAAAATCCTAATTAAAACTAATCTAAATTCTAAACTAATTCTATTTCTATACTAATTTTAATTAACTTAATTAACTAATTATTTAATTCCATACTAAACTCTAATGATAAAGTTCTAATCTAATTTTTAATCTATCCTAATTAATTAAAAATCTAATTCTAAAAACTAATTAATTCTAATAACAAATTCTATATTCTAAATTAATAAAAAAAAATCTAATTCTATAATCTAATTTAAAAACTAATTAATTCTAATCTAAAATAAAATAAAATTCTAATTCTATAATCTAATTTAAAAACTAATCTATTTCCTAATTCTAATAACAAAGTTAAAACTAAAACTCTAAATTCTAATTTCTAAAAACAATTTCTAAAACTAACTCTAACTTAATCTAATAAAAATCAAAATTCTAATTAAGTCTATTTTCTAAACTAATTCTATTCTAATTTCTAAAAACTATTTCTAAACTAAAAGAAACTGAGTTCTAATTGTTGAATCTAAAATAAAATTCTATTCTAAAAATATTATAATTTCTAATAAAAATTAATAAATGAAAAGACTAAATAAAATTTTAATTAAAATTCTAATCTATATTCTAGTTCAAATAAATTCTATACAAAATGTATTCTAATTAATTTTAAACTAATCCCTAATAACAATTTTAAAATTACTAACTTAAATCTAAAATCCTAATATATTTCTAAAATTACTAACTTAATTCTAAAATCCTAAAAAATCTCTAGAATTACTAACTTAATTCTAAAATCATAAAATATCTCTAAAATTACTAACTTAATTCTAAAATCCTAAAAAATCTCTAAAATTAATTCTAATTTCTAAATAAAAACTAAAATCTAATTAAAATTAAATAATTCTAAAACTATTTTAAAATGAAAAATAATTCTAAAAACTACTAAATTAAATCTAAACAACTTCTATTTCTAAATTAATTAAAAAAACTATTTTCTATTAAAACAACTACTCTAAACTATTTAAAAAAATCTAATAAATAAAATTTCTATTAAAAAGTTCTAAACAATTAAAAAAAACTATTTAAACTATTTTTTAAAAAATTCATATTAAAAACCTAATTAAACTATCTCTTAAATAAATATGAAGTAAAAAGAGCAATAAAATGCAAAATATAATCTTGATAAATTCAACTCAGCTGATAACACTGGCAGGATGCGACATAATGATATGCAGGCGAAAACGAAACAAAAGTCAAAGTTAGAAAAAGGATGGGCAAATTTAGGGTATGACAATAATATGAAAATTAATGAGGTTCATACTCGAAATAATGTGAAAATATAATTTTATTTTTCTTTAATAACATGATTTTTGTAAAAACTTTTGTTAATTTATAGTATTATTATATTGTATAATTAATTTTCTAACTTTTTAAATTAATTATATTATTATATTGTATGATTAATAATATTTAAGTTTAATGAGAATACATTAGAGAGAAATGTTATAATTATACAATATATAACTCATTTCTCTTTGACTAAATTAAACATCAAAGAAATTCATAGTTCAATTGATAAAACTATCATTCTAATAGTTTTTAAAAGTTTATTAAGAGTGCGTTTGGACGAGATAATTAAGAATTTTTAAAAAACTCAAAATTCTAAACAACTCAAATGATTCATTATTAAATATTTGAGGTCATTTTCATAATTTGTAAAGCTTTTGGAACCAATGTAAAATATTAAAATAATGACTAATTTGTAATTTTTAAAACTTTAAAATAATTCTTTTAAAAAATTTGAAAATTATTAACTATTGTAAATTGTTATAAAATATGAAATCCATCTTGCAAAATTTAAAAAGCTAATAATAAACAATTTAAAATCCACATTATATGTTATATAGAATGAATGAATAATTTTAAATTCTTTACTTTTTGATATCATTTAAGATTTGTTAAATATTATTCAAACAATAAATTTTAAGTCAAGTCATTTTAAATTCTCATAAAAAAAAATATTTTTCACATTAAAATTTGACAAAATTTAATTTTTCTAATTTTAATATTATTTATTTGTTATAAATAATTAACATAATTATAAACATTAATAAAATCAGATTATAAAACAGAACACCAAAATTTAAGAAAAATAAAAATAAAAGATCAATATTCTAATTAAGCTAAAAAAAAATATAAATATAAAAAAATCAATAAAAAATTCAACCCAATCCAGAAATCCACACGCACAGGAAGGGGCCGTATTTTAAAACATTGGCTTGAACGCTTCTTGTACTGCACGTAAAACTCTCAAAAGGTATAAGTTGTCCATAGCCAAATCCTTCTGAGAATCCACATCTGAAGTCACCTGATAAAGCACAACAAAATTATTTATTATTATTTGCACTAACAAAGTTGGATGGAGGGTTGAAAAATTAGAATTACAGACAACTTAAAATTAAATTGATATTAGTGGCACCATTCTAACAAACGTTGGGAAATCCAATATGACAAATCAACGTACTAACATTTGGGAATTCCAATTTCTCAATATGTATTTTCTATGTTACATGAATCAAGATTGATAACGAAACAAAATGAAGGGAAAAAAGAGAGAAGAAAGACCTTGGAAGGATCTACTTTATCGATAACCTCTTCTTTATTTATACGATCTTCTTCGGGTGAAGACATGGAGCGATCGACGTTTTCTTCTTTTTTTATATGATCGTCGTGTGAAGACATGGAGCGAATGGAAGCATTCCATGGTTGGAATTTAGGAGCGGCTTGGAGCGGCACGCGAACATGGCGGAGTACGGTTGCTCTTAGTGCCATTTTTCTCTGCAATTTGCGATAGAAAAAGGGTTCAGTGTTAGGGGTTGGAAAAATTTAGGTTTGAGGGGTCGGTATATATAATGCCGAAATGGGCCAGGGATATGCGGGTACCCATTATATTTGGAGAAATTAACTTGACATCCTATTTTATACATGATACTCCTAAACTTTAAATATTTTCAAATTATATTTATTAATACTTCCCTATCAAATTTTATTATTCTTTTAAAATTTTCACTTTTTTCAACCTTTAAAAATGAAATTTCTCGTAATAATTTTGAAACTTTTGGTATGTCTTTTTTCAAATTTTTGAAATTTCACGCATATATATATATATATATATATATATATATATATATATATATATAAGTAATTTGAAAAAATCCGGTATAAAATTTTAGAAATTTTAAAAAATTCGGTACCAACCTCCATGATCTGGAAGGTAAATTTTCCGGATCATGTTTTCAAATTAAAGAAATCTCTGTATGGTTTAAAACAAGCTCCCAGAGGTACATTTTAAATGTGAATTAAAGTGTACATTTCAAATTAAAGTGTGGTGGCGATGGTGGTTGATGAGTGTGACTCCACAATGGGATGTGATGAAGAACATGACTACCAACCTCCATGTCCAAACAACATTGTGGATGCTTCCAAGGCAGTGTGGGAAGCTTTAGGTGTGCCTAAAGATCAATGGGGTGGCCTTGACATAACATGGTCAGATGCTTGATTGTAGAAAACGAAATACATGTTTGTGTTTGTGTGTTGTGCTGTAATACTTTGTAATATGGAGTACTTTAATTCCTCGTCTTATTTGTATGTTACCTAAATATTGTTACAAGTGAGCACTCTCTTATCTATAAAGAAAATTTGATACATTTTCTATAGTTTTAAATGTGAATTGCACCACCTAATAATATTTGCAAACTGCATATCACTGCTGTATTTCGAAAATCACCAGAAAATTTGCATCATAAGACATATGTTTTGCATAGTACTCTAGAACGTGAGAACCCTCTTCGCTGGTGTTTCACCAATAATCTTCACCAAAGCATGACCCATATGACACCAAAAGCAATATGGGATTATTTGAAGGAAGAGTACGCTGGAGATAAGAGGATTTGAAGCATGCAGGTTCTCAACTTGATGAGGAAATTTGAGATGCAAAGGATGAAAGAGTCTGAGAAAATCAAAGAATGCTCAGACAAGTTATTCTCCATTGCAGACATATGCTATGACCACTTATTGAACATAGGCTATGGAAAAAACTTATCCGAGTCCACTCTTTATGTGAAACATAGTGTAAATAATTTTTTCATAATTTCCCCCTATCTTAATGATCTTTTAGTGTTGTTGGTTGAACAATTCGAACAAGAAATGATGCTTGATGCTACTCACAAATATTTAGAGAGGTTGAAATTTGAAGAAAGATATGAAATTTGAACAAGAAATGATGCATGAAAATATCAACCATGATTAAGATGAATTTCTCTTGGAAAAAATAACTCTTTCGCCAATTGAGGAATATTTTTGAAGAATAAAGTGTTCAAGAAAATTCTTCTCCGTGTATTAGTGAAACTTGAGAATATCAACAATGATTCGGATAAGCCCATTGAGCCTTTTAGTATGGTCCTCCCTACTTCTAAAACACCACCTGTGGCGGAGTATCATTGAATGCAATGCAAAGAAATATTTTCTTGTTTACCAAGTTTTAAGGTACGAAATGAGTCATAGTTAACTTAATTACACTAACAAGTTCTTGTTAGTGTTCAAAATAACTGATCTATTACAGTATGCATTTTAATATATAATCATTTTTTATCATTAGTTTAAAATCATTAAAAAGAACAAATTACCAGAATCAGTAGTTGTAATTGGCTAAACATCAAGCTAGTGTAGAACTTGTTCTTTGACCTCAAAAGTGATCCTATAGTAAACAGAGCAGGATGGAGTAATGTGACCTTAGTTAATAATATTTTCCTCAACCAAAAAAGGGAATCCTACTACTATTTGATTATAGCTTCTTGTCAATACACTGATATGAAGATTAATTTTCATATAATGCTTGATGAAAATTCCAGTAAATTCACCCCATCAAGACTCATGTAGACAAGAAAAATAGATGAATCAATGGTAAAATTAATATAAGGTACTATGTTCTATTTATGAACAAATGAAAAGTTCACTATAGACACAAGAAAAACTGAGACACATATAGGATAACATTTCAAAGGTAAAATATGAAGTAAAAGAAATTACAGAACAGAACATATACTGATATAAATAGAATGCATCATATTTTGTAATATCAAACATCTGACCATGTAATATCCAACCCACCCCATTGGTTCCTAGGGACACCTAAGCCTTTCCACACAGCCATTGATGCATCAACAATATTATTGGCACATGGAGGTTGATACTCACGTTTTGCATCACACCCCTTTCATGAGTCACACTCATCAACTACCATTGCAACCACACTTTGACCATTCCCATTTATGGTGATATTGTGAAGGCACCTTCTCTTTGTGTTGAACCATCCGGTGGAAAGTGCCACCACAGGCGTTTCATCGGAATGATATTTGCCATCACATGTCGAAGGCCCGTTACCATCTCCGCCTTTTTCAAAACTGTTAAGAGTGAGATATGCCTTTGTGTGACTAGACACCAGCGGGGAACATTTGTATGTGTGATATTTCTTACCCGGTACACAACATAAGTCATTCTCGTGATTGCAATGCCCTGAAGGGCTTTTACCTTTTACTATACCATTAGGGTGACATTTTTTAGCTTCAATGCATAGAGAATTTGTGAAGAAGAAAAAGAGTAAGAGAAGAATGAATGTATTTGAGAAGAAGCTCTCCATTGTCTGTGTGTACCTTGTTTTGTAGTTTGTATTGTTCTTTTGAGTGCTTTAAATAACTAGGATGTTGCTCAAATTGGTTTCTTAAAATGATTCTGTTTTTTGTTTCTTTGAAAATGGCCAAGACAGTATAGAAGTGGTTCATTGACCTCAAAAGCAATCCTATAGAATGGTAGTTGTCATTTGAGCCTCACACGGCAGGATAGAACTCATTGCCTTGACCCAAAAACTAACCTCCACCCTCTGCTTCTTCATTACTATTTACTTTACAAACACTAAGTTTCCTATATATACCCTACTAAAACCTCCATCTTAGCAGCAAACACTAACAAGAACAACTAAGAGTTGTATAAACAAAATGAAGAGCTTTTGCCCCATAGTTTCTTTTCTTTTATTGTTTACTCTTATTTTAACAAGTTGTGTATTTTCTCAAACACAAAAGTGTCGTCCAAATGGTAGAATCAGGGGAAAGAAAGCTCCATCAGGACAATGCAACAAAGAGAATGACTCTGACTGCTGTGTCCGAGGTAAAATGTACACAACTTATGAGTGTTCACCATCAGTGTCTCCTCATACTAAGGCTTATCTCACACTTAATAGCTTTGAGAAAGGTGGAGATGGAGGTGGCCCTTCAGCATGTGATAATCAGTACCATTCTGATGACACTCCTGTTGTTGCACTTTCCACCGGGTGGTTCAACGACAAGAGCAGGTGTTTGAACAAGATTACTATAAGTGCTAATGGAAAAAGTGTGGTGGCCATGGTTGTTGATGAGTGTGACTCCACAATGGGATGTGATGAAGAACATGATTACCAACCTCCATGTCCAAACAACATTGTGGATGCTTCCAAGGCAGTGTGGGAAGCTTTAGGTGTTCCTAAAGATCAATGGGGTGGCCTTGACATTACATGGTCAGATGCTTGATTGTAGAAGATGGCATATTTGTTTGGGTTCTTGTGCTGTAACACTAAGTAGTATGTGATATTGTGTACTTGATAACTTAAATTCCTCATTTTATGTGTATATTATGTAATATGTTATGCTGTTACAAGTAAGATTCTGTTTTAAATTAAGTTTTATTTAGTTCCCATGGTTTTAGAATTTGAACTGCATCACCTTATCATATCATATTCCTGCAATATTTAAGCTATCACCTTCAGATATGCGTATCATATCATATTCCTGCAATATTTAAGCTATCACCTTCAGATATGCGTACAAATGTTTCAGTTGTGGCCATGTTTATCCTATAATAACTAGCAGAAACAACCCAGCACAATATCACACTTCTGTGATAGATACAGTTAATATTGAAATTTTTCTTTCCCCATTTCTTAGATATAGTTAATACTTCAAAAAAGGGATTGTCAGAATGGTGGTGGTTTTCTGGAGAAAAAACAGAAGTGATGATCTAGAGGTACTAATAAACTTTAGTAAATTTTTAAAAGCTGTGTTAGTAAAAAATATTTGTAAAACTATTCATTACAGTTTCTATTTACTTGTTGAAATTAGAATTATAAAAATATTTGTAAAACTATTCATTACAGTTTCTATTTACTTGTTGAAATTAGAATTATAAAAATATTTGTAAAACCATTCATTACAGTTTCTATTTACTTATTGAAATTAGAATTATAAAATGAAAAGAATACCATAGGTTTTAAAATTAAGTTAACATTATTTAAAAGACCGTGCATATGTAGAAATACAAAAATTGCATAGTAAGAATGAAACATCAACAGATTCTTCCAAAATCTTAAAAATTATTTGGATATTAGGCAACAAAAAAACTTAAGCAAAACTGCAAATATGAAGTCAAATAATTGAGGTAGCACAGAAAATTTAACAAAAATTACCTAAGATATGAAACCATGATGATATTAGCGAAGAGATCATTCAGGATGAAAAAGAAAAACAATGATGCCATCAAAATCATATAATTAATCCGAAGAGAATAAAGATGCAACCATAACATGCTGTCTAACAAAAGCTCCATAACTTCTAGGAAATAGTTCTCAAAACAAAAACAGAAATAGTTTGACAAGAAACAAAATTGTAACACAGACAAATAATATATGATTCAAACAATCTAAACTTCTTATTTGTCAGCCTTTGCAGCGCTTGCAGCAGCTTGACCCCTGAGCCTACCAGTCCTCTTGGCAGCAATGAGACCAACCTTCTGTCCAGGAGGTGCATCACGTCTGACAGTACTTGCATGACCAATATGCTGGTGGTTACCTCCTCCATGGGGATGCTCAACTGGATTCATAGCAACACCACGAACCTTAGGCCAGCAGTTCCTCTTCACTCTAAACTTGTGGTATGCATTACCAGCCTTCAACATAGGCTTCTCTGTTCTACCACCGCCAGCAACTTGCCCAATCATAGCCCGGCAATCACTTGGCACAATCTTCTTGGCACCAGAAGGAAGCTTGATCCTAAATCAAGGAAAATTCAACATCACAATCTTAATACAAGTAAAAGATTAAACAATAACAAGAAACTAAATCATTGTAAGCCTAAAATTTTGATCTTAAAAAATGTAATTTTGGATAATAAGAAACAAATTATCTAAGATCAAACAGCATCAAATTCAAAATTCAACATAGAAACATGAAATTCATAAATTTCCATACACAGAACAAAACTTCAGTTTATCACTCAATAAAACATTATAGCACAGATTTTTCAACAACTAAACCAACTGAAAAACAATAAACTATCAATTATCATTGCAGACAAACCTAATTTGAACATGTAAAAATAACAGATCAAGCATTTCCTATCAAGTCCTAATTTATGATAGAATACTAACAATAATTGAACAAAATATAATCAAATCATATACATAATAACTATCCAAACAAACTAAACACTAAATGAATAATAATTAAATAAACTAAAACAAATTAGAGAGATTAGAATGAACAAAACCTAGAGGTATCGTTATCAGGGTTGTGACTGATAACAATAGCATAATCACCAGAAGCCCTGGCAAAAACACCACGGTCACCAACATGTCCTTCCACGTTGCAGATAACAGCTCCCTCAGGGATAGATCTGAGAGGAAGCACATTACCAACAACTAGAGTAGCCTTCTTTCCGCAGTAGATAAACTGACCGGTGTACAAACCTTCAGCCGCAACAAAAAGCTCATTCTGCTTCTTGTAACGGAAAGGATGACGGAAAGTAACCTTGGCAAGAGGAGCACCACGACCTGGATCGTGGATAACATCAGTAACCACTCCCTTGAGGTAACCGTTACGCTCGCCGAAATCGAGACTGCGGAAACGAGCAGGTCCCTTCCTGTGATGGGTATGGGACTTGAAAACTGAACCCGCTCCCTTACGTTGTGCCCTAATCACACGACCCATTGCTGCGCCTCTGAAAGATGATGGGGAAGGGGATGAAGAATGAAAAACTGCTAACCTAGTTTTGGTTAAGAAGGGAGAAACTAGGGTTTTAATATACTGACTTGGACGGGAATATTTATGGGCCGGGTCATAGAAGCCCAATATAGTTGTAGGTTGAAAGAGTCTGGTTTCCATTTACCATTCCAATTCCAAAATTCCATTTTTTTTAAACAGCATTTTAGTGTTTTTAAAATAATATTTTGATATTTTGATACGTTTTGGGGATAAGAGGTAAATTTATGGAGGTGGAAATTGATTAGTTTATTGTTCTATTGGTAAAGAACCAACTTTTATCACATAAAAAAATAGATATGTCTCTAAAATATATAGGCTTTAATTTTAAGCCTCAAAATATAAGATGAGAATTAAAATTATTTAAATTTAAAATAAAAATTTAATTTTGTAGAAAATATAAAATAGAGAGCCAAACTATAATTAAGTTAAAATTTGATTTAGCTAATGAAACTATATGGATTGAATGGTATAACTTTAAATTAAATTAAATGTATATTTACATCACTTTTTTAATTTCACTAAATTTATATAGGAGTCACATGATTTGGTGGAAATCACGCCAGTTTTAATCAATGAAATAAAATGTTAAATAGTGTTGTTAAATGCTATTTTCTTAAACTACAAAATCTCTTCAAATAAACTTTTTATAATTAGTTAGATACCGTCAATAAATTAATTTAATAATTTGATCAATATTTATGACGCTTGTTAAACTATCGTAATTTATCCTCTTATATAGTTATGATAAATGTATCAAATAAAAAAACTTACTATTTTTTTTATATAATTTTTTGTATAAATGTTTAGTTTGATATTCTAACACTTTGTCGAAATCATGTATACTAAATAAATTTGTAAGACATAACAAAATGCATATAAAATTGAAGTAATCTTCATTATTATTTCTTCAATTTTAAAACAAAATAGCAAAATCAATTCAAAATTAAAGAGACTAAACAATATTGTAAAGATAATACAATTAATAGTTGTAAAAACATTAAATATAAGATATAAGTTTAAATTCGTAGTATTTTATATTTATTTTTTTAAAGATGAATTTTAATTACTAAACTATTTGACAAAAAAAAAAATTTAAAAATAAAAAAACTAAACATTATTATCCATGACATTGCATTTTCTAAGTGAATAAATCTATCATGAAATGAAATAAACATTTTAGAGATTTATATACACAAAATTAATTATGTAGTGATATAATATTTATATGTATACCTACCTCTCAGGGGCAGGGGTATCGTGGTTGTCCGTAAGGAGCGAAACCCTTCTACCATCTGAGATTGAGGAAGACCTCGCCTTCAATGCCCTCAGTCATTCCGTTATGGAAAACATGGGAAAATACATGTTCGATCAGAGAGAATTCAAAATCAGCAATTCAAAGTGTGTTTCCTTAAAAGTAGGGATTCAATGGACTATTACTCTGACTAATTGGACGATTATCATTCTCGAAAAAACCTTAACTTCAGGCCCAGAAGTCTCTATAAATATATCATTCTTAACATGAGAGAGAAACAACTCATAACATACACAAAATAAATAGAGAATATAGAGTTTCTTATCTTACGCGATATTGCTCTCTCCATTACCAAAACACCACCAAACATGGCCTTTCACCACTGTGAGCACGTCCTAATCTCCAAAAAATCACTAAGTCCTCTGGTCACCCCTACCAGCATAAAGGTGTCGCGCATTATTTATTTTTTATAAGTGCAATGGTGTAATACCCCGACTTTAGTTTATTAGTTTATTTAAATTATTAGATTTAATAGAGTGAATATAGATGTCTTGCTTGAATTGTTGTTATTAATTTTTTAAATGATATGCTACTTCCCAACCGAGCATCATTACTCTAGCATAACTACGCGACAACAGGTAATGTCAAAGTAAAATTAAAAAACTCAAAAAAGTAACAATGTGTATGTCATTGAGGACCAGAACTTGATCACGCATCTGAGATGCCAAGAAACCCCATATGATTCATACATCATATATTTGACTTTATTTTAAGCCACTTTCATGCCGGTTATTTTACCTCTTCTACCGTTTTTTTAATTTGGATCTCTTCATTTCATAAGACTTTATCATTCCTATATTTTCAAATGATGGGAATGCAAGCGGCCAAATAATGGCTAACTTGATAGATGAATTTCTTCCTCTACCTATAAAAGCTTTCAAACTGGTTTAGGTGTTACCATCTGACATTGTGAAAAACCAGTTACATATGGAGCTTCATAGATCTGTTAGAGCCTTGAAGAAAGAGAGAAGTTAACTGGAATCACGTGTACGACAAACTTCCATATTACAACTGAACCGCCTATGGATAGATGTTTGCTCTTCCACTTGTTCAAACTTAATTTTATTGTCGTTATCACATGTTCTATGTCTCATTCATGTTTGGATTTGCCCCAATAGGAAGTCGAAGATAGTTTAGCAGCAAAGAGCTTATCTTACAATAAATGATGTTTGTTGCCTCTACTAACCAAAATTGAGGAACGTTAATCCCTTTTAACGAAGTCTAGGGTAATTTAGCGGTGCAAGTGCAACTTTCCGTTAAATGTATTTTGTATGATGCCAAAACTAGAATACTTTAGCGTTTATGTATATTGGACGATATCCACTAAATCTAAATGTGCATCTTAGCATTAGGAAACATAACATGTTGAAAAAGGTTAATGCATCAAAGAAAAGAGTTTCATGCATCAAAAATTGATTTTATATATGAGAGAAAACTATGTGTCGACACATATGCATTATAGGTCAACACATATAAGAAAAGTTTCTGTACATGTCAACACATGCATTTTCAGGTCGGCTCATGTACCCTATTTTTAAAGTCTCTAGTATTTGTTTGATGTGCTGATTGCATAGGTAAGCACATGACCTTTACAAGTCGGCTCATGAATCAAAAACGTCGACCTATGACTTACATAGGTCGACACATGCATTAAAAATCTTGAAAATCTACATTATTTTCTAAATCTATTACATTCCTTTTGCTTTTAACTTTCATATATATAATTCATATATGCATCATTTCTTTTTAGTGATTTTGACAAAATCGTAAACGAAACTGGTCCCAAAGAGTGCTCATCATCTTCAACCTTCATTCTATGCACGCACACAAACAAAGTACACATAATCTTTCAATGTTTGGGTGCCATCTAGATTTAGAGTTTATAACATCCAATTTAGGTCGGTGAATTGTAAATTGGGTTGAGATCTTTGAGAGATTCAAATAGGAAAACCAAGGTGGAGATTTCCTTCAAGATCAATTGGGGATTTAAAGGTTTTAGACACGATTACACAATTTAGATTTTATCGAGTGAAGGCTTTGAAGAACGGAGGATTTTTGCAAAGGAGTGGCGTGAGACGGTGAATCAAATTGGTAAATCTTGAGTTAAAATAATTTTCAATTTGGATTTGATTGAGTGAAGGCTTTGGAGAACGAGGTTTTTTGCAAAGGAGTAGCGCGAGACAATAAATCAAATTGGTATTGTTGGGTGACTTGATCAAGCTCAGATCAGGGGAAGAGAGAGTCTTAGAATCAACATCAAACATAGGGTTTGTATGGTTGCATTGCTATATTTCTCTTGTAAACTACATTTGTAAAGTAAGGTTAATTTCATTATCCCAGTTCGAGTTTGAATTGAGGGCAGACATATCCATAGCGAGGTCGATTGAGGAACTGCCTAAATAAATCCTTGTGTACTATCTCTCTATCTCTATCTCTATCTCTTTTATTTTTCATTTGCAAATTGTTGAATTCTTCAATTGTGTGATCAATATGTTTGGTTAAACTTTTTGATAACCTTTGAAAAAGGTTTTGTTGAGTTGATCACAATACATTTGATTGTGGTTGGATTCGCAAATCAAAAAAATCATACAAAATCCAAAACAAAATTGATTGCACATAAGGTGTTTGACAATTTGTCTCAATCAAGTTTTTGTATTTATTATCATTCGAAATAGCTTTGGTTGTTGAGTTGCATTTAACGTGTTGTGATTAAAGCATATTGATTTATTTGTTTATCGTTATCATCTATTGGTTTTCATATACGCATATCTGAGCTTTTTTATAGCGATTTGGTTTAGATGATTTGATCCAGGTCACTTCCGCTAGCCGTTAATTTTCCAAAACATATTTTTAAAGCAATTTTTTAACTTGGGATTTATTCATTCCTCTCTATATTAGTCGCCTTCGTCTAACAAGTGGTATCACAAGCTCTAGTTAATTTAGTGCTTCAGTATTCACTTATTAGAAAATGGCTAACGAACCTAAAAGGGCGTACAGTAGAGCGCCCATTTTTACCGATGAAAATTATGGCTATTGGAAAGCTTGTATGTGTATCCATATCAACTCGGTTGATAAGGGTGTATAGAACTCCATCATCAATGGTCCTAATCAAATTACAATGACCAATGGTGAAGGCGTTGTTGTACCAAAACCAGAAGCACAATAGGATGATAATGATAAGAAATTGTGGTCACATGACTGGAAGGCACAAAATATTCTCATATTCGCACTTGGTATTGATGAATACTATCGTGTCTCTCATTGTGAAACCACCAAACCTATGTGGGATGCATTAGAAGTTTCCCATGAGGGAACTAATGAAGTCAAACAAGCTAGGATCAATACCTTAAATAAAAAATTTAAACTATTTCGCATGAAGCATGGTGAAACCATTGCCGACATGTAAAACAGGTTTGTACATCTTATAAATCACTTGAATGCTCTAGGTAAGCCTATTTCCAATGATATTGCTACTAATAAAGTTTAGAGGTGTCTTAATAGGGAATGTCAACCTAAGATCACCGCAATCAAATAAGCTAATGATCTTAAAACACTTGATCTCACAAATTTATTTAGCAAACTAGAAGAACATGAGCAAGAACTCACTTGCTTGGAAAAACATGAGAAAAATATT